CCACCTTGACAGTCCAGAAGTCACATGATAGCAGAAGTATGATGGTGACCATGCAGACAACAAAGCGACCGCTGAGAATGTCACAGAAGAGATAAACCAAGATGGCACTTGTTCGGAAGAAGAGATGGAAAAAAGACACCAGAGGATGTCTGAAACCCCCAAATGGAGAATTTAGTCTTCGTGGTTAAGGGGGTTTGGGCTAAAAAAAAAAACACATTAAGTGCAACATCTTACCTCATTTTGGACCTTTTTGTCTGGTTATTCTCATCCTCTTCTCCAAAAAGAGGGGCATCCTGAGTGTCCTGAAACCAGAACAAAGTTAAACACACCGAGAAAAGTACCTGCTACGGCGCTTTACTCTTATTTGATAAATATTAAACAGTCTAAAACGCCTATTTCAAAAAAGAATCTCTTCTAAATACTGATACAACTCAAATTTAAACTCGATCACCTGTCTCTGCATTTTAGCACCAGAAATCTCTACTTCCTGGTGACGTGTAGTAAACAAACCCGTGTGCTAAGGACCCCACGAAGGTGTGGCTTTGAATTTGCCAGACACAAAGGTAAGCACGACACTCCCAAATACGTAGATTATCCGTTTATGTTTTAAGCTTGTTGTATTAATAAGTAGCCTACCTGCTGTACGGGCTCTAGGAAAGCGTTTTCTTTGTTGCGTTTTAACTTATTTGTTTTGTAATTTTTAAAAAGGGCAGTAAGGGCAAGGAACACGAGAGGCAAAAGCTAATTGGTCATTACACTACAACACCGGCGCGTGTCAGAGCAGGTGAGTCGTCACAACTCCCTTTACAGTCACTGGGCCAGTACAAAGGTAACGCTGGGATGTATTTTTTCAATTATTATGGCATCTATAATCTATCTATAGTGTTCAAACAGAAGGGCGTAAACCCCCCAAAACTAATGCAGCCAGTGATTCGACATAAAAAGTTCTGTATTTATAGCACCATTTAAATCGCTAGTGAAGTTAGAAATGTGAACATTTCTGACCGATTCTTTTCGTTTGTGTGCATGGTGGTTGGGAGATGATTTTTTTCATTCGTTTTTTTTTTCTTAAGCTATACAGGAAGAGACGTGGGCAAAGCAGATCTGACTAGTCGTGTTTATTGTAAGGTCTTCACTGTTTTCAATAGGGCTGTGCGATATGACCAAAACTCATATCCCGATATAAGACATCTATCATCCCGATAACGATATAAATCACAAAAATGTAACATTTTCTGTAAATTCTGTGAATCTCGGGCAGCTCGACTTGCGGGAAGTGTTTCCAGCTGCGCGTCATGTACCTGGAGTCGAGTGTTTTAACAGATGCATGAAACTATACATTTTAAGACATAAGTTGTAAAGGCCACCGTTTTATTTTGTGAGTATTTATTACACGGTGTGCTGTGGGGAAAAGCCTGTTCTAACGTTTGAGTCTAAGGTTTATTTTTTAGCACCTGGCGGCTTTTTTACTTCCCATCCGTAAATAATCCGCTCTTTCACGTGATTCAGTTTATTTTGAAAACCCTCAACAGGATCTTGAGCTTTATTGTGAAAGGTTTATGTGTGGTTATATTAAATATAAGAGAAAGAGAGAACTTTAAGAAATTAATATAGCCACTACAGTGACCATCAAAACCATGAAAGAATATTGCCGTAAACAGTTTATTTTGCGACACCACGAAACAAACAATAGCGTAAAATGAAACGATAGACGTTTTTATATCGTCATCCGATATATATCATTATATCGAACAGCCCTAGCTTTCAATGGTGATTTCAAAATAATACACCACTACAGTGTTGGCTGCTTATGGTTATAGTTATGACAGCTGGGATCCAGCTCCAGCGTGCCCCCAACCCTGAAAGGATAAGCGGAAGCCAATGGATGGATGGTTTGGTGAGTACAGTCAGAAAAAAATACATTTAATGTTAAATTAAAAAGCCAATACTATTTAGTTTACAATAAATAAAGAAGGGGGGTAAATGAGAAACTGGAATAATAATTACTTTGACTTTTATATTGTAAACTTGAATTAATAATAACAACAACAACAACTCTTTTTGTTTTTTTTGTTTTTTTTTGCTTGTTTCTTTTTGTGCATGCGTTTATTTTGTGCTTACATGCCTGAAGTGTAAATCGGTTAATACAAGATCAGAAACAAAAACAGTTCTGAAAACATTATAAATACATGGGCATTTTCATATAAAAAATAATCAGATACATCTTAGTGGCTGTATTCATTAGTTAGTTTTGACCGAAATTTGTAAAGAAAAATCATTGGAACAAACCACAGGTTATAAATGGTTTAAGTGTCCACCCAGTCAGCTGTACGAGTTGCACGCTTCCATGTTATGATATCAGAAACACCTCAAAAAGGTTGGCAACCGAATGCATTCGGTAAAAGATGCTAAAAGGAAGTCCCACGTTTACAACAGGAGCCCATACGTTGAATTTGTAGAATTCAGTTTCAGTGGTGTGGTCAAACTGAGGACGAGCACCGAATGCAGGCATGATCCACAACTGTAAAAAATAAAATAAAAAATAAGAGAGCCTTAATATTTAGTGAATTTTTAAAAACTATATTTAAGGCAGCGAGAGATGAGGTACTCACAATGATGTTTCCCATGAGCAAAAACATGCAGACCTCCTTCAACACTTGTCGCTTCCACAACAGTTTGTATTTGTACTGTATCTTGTCGCCTTGCAGGTTATCTTCTAGCATATCAGGGCTTGTCTCTGTGTTCGTGTTTGAGCCTTCGTGGTTGTTCATGTCATTGCCGGGTTCCACCACATAAGGATTTACAATCACAGATGGTTCCTTCACTTCGTGAAAAGGCACGCGATGCAGACCTTCAATGATGAAAAAGTTCTGCAGGCCAAGCTGGATCACCATAATTATGGCAAAGGACAGATCGAGCCTATTCAGGGGGTCTTTGACTCCTGTTGAAATCATGGCTATGATACTGAAATAGCTTATGACGAACTGTCCCAGTGAGGCTCCGACCAGCAACCCCACATCCAAGTTGCGTGTGGGACTTTTTTCTGACACGTGTTCGCGGTCATCAACCCTGTAAATCATCATGCCAATCACAGTCACAATAGACATGAGGCTCACTATGACTATATTCATGACAAAGTGCATCATCAATGCTTCTTCTTTGGTTTTTGCATCTTCATTTTTCATTTCCATTTCATATGCAATGAAGGTCGCCAGCCCTGCGATCACTAACAGGATTCCAAAAGTAGGACCGATATATATGCCTTTAAGACGGAATTTGATTTTGGCGTGGCCATGTTCACCTACTAATCGACCCACGTTTTTCCACATGATGTAGGCCATAGCAGATGCAAAGAGGCTGTACTCGATATTGAAAGGGTACAAGTAGTAGTAGGCAACCTTGAAGATGCTACATGAAGAGTGGCTGCACTTACACTCATGGTCTCCATAACTTGCTGTAAAACATGAAACAAAAGAATTATGTTGTGGTTTCATACCGACTCTTTTATCTAGTACATTTTTTTAAAAACTGCTTTAATTACCTCTACTAATGTACAAACTTCGCCCAGTGAGTTTAGTGATGTTGTCCAGATTGGTGGGAACTAACGTTTGGTGAACAGACTCCTCAGCAACTGCAGTCATCCACAAAACCAGATTTGTGGAGAGGGTGAGCATCAGCCCACAACTAATATTGAGGGATAAAAAGAAGGTAAAATAAAACAAGGATTAGATAGTCCAACATAAAACATATCAGATAATACCTATGAGTGTAATGTTTCAGGTTATTGTTATAGTTTCAAGCTAAATCCTGATTAATCAGCATGGAAATTCCTTTTAAAGCAAAGAGTTTCAAATCTAAATTTTAAATATAAACTGGTTCTCTTACTTCACTGTTATAGGAAATGAACTTCCTTTGAGTTTTTTTTTTTAAATCATTTTTTAACTAAAACAATTCACATGAACTTTTTCTACACCTTTTAATACAGATGGTAACTACTGGTTATAGCCTCCTTTTAAAAAGAGACCTTCAGAAGATCTGGGAATCATAGACAGTGAAAAGCATAATTGGTGGCTGCAGCATTTCCAGTATAAAGTTACTCTGATATTTTTCACAGCTTCTTGGACAACAGATTTTACAGTAACTAGGTTACTTTCCCTGTATCGAAATAGATACCACCCGGAAGTAAAATGATGAAGAAAGGGGTAGAAAATATCTTAATTACCTACCAAGAAATGTTCTTTTGTAGCTGCACACAGTCTTTGGAATGGACCCACAAGAAGTATGTCTACAAATTGATTTTACAATTATTACAATAATTATTTTGCAACCATCAAGACCAGATTAAATGTAGTAAGGAGCATTTTATTATTCATTTCTACCTGCACAAATATGAAAACAATTTGCACCACGGGAAATGCAACTTTAACTGCAGAACCACAGTGGAGGTATCCAACATAGCTGCCAATCTTGAAAATATCCATGATAATGCTGAGGACTGCAAACAGCACAAGTCCTCCTGGAGGAGCAAAAAAGAAAGAAGATGTAGAACGGATGAAAAATCATAAAACTACCTAATAATACTTAAACTGAACTGAACATTTACTCACCCCTGAGCCATGTTGGCCCAGCGTGGGCATCCTTGTAATTGACAGCATTTTTAATCCTGGCTGTGTAGATGCTGTAATAAATCATCCACATGGAGGTAAGCAGGAGGAGGGTGATGAGGAAAATCTGCAGGTGAGGGGCTTTGATATTTATATCTTCATAAGTACTCCCGGTGACCAAGACACTGCCCAGGATCAAAATGTTTACACATATGATCCCAGATCCCATCCATCCCCAACTTTGGCTTTTTTCCTTCCCAACTTCTGCAGAAGAGATCTTCAGTTCGGGTTCATCCTTGCTTCCCTCCTGACCAGATGAATTTATGTTGTTTGACTGGTGGACCTCCTCTGTTTCCTTGTCCTGGGCCATCATTCTGCAGGGTTCACATTGATTTCCCATGGTCAAACAGTTAAACTCATAGCAAGAGCTGATAGACATGGCTACTCTCTCTGCTCACAGGTGAGTTCTCTGCTGGATTTGTTTCTATATAAGACAAGACAGGTTTAACAGCCACACCCAGTCTTGGTTGCTATTAGTAGAGTGATCCTGCGCAAAAGAAACCTTTCCACGAATGCCAAATCAGCACAATTTGGTCTTTTTCTTTTTATCTAAAACAAAACAAATTTTTAAATCAACAAACAAAATTCTATTTCCGCACTTCTGGCTCTACACATAGTGTGTACAATAATGTGTAATGTGTTCAAAATCAGAAAAAATATCTCCTGCAGTTAAAATATAACTAGATCAGCTGTGCTTTTTTTCTTGAATTCACCAACAGCATCCCATGCCATCTAAATAAAGAATTACAACAGAGCAGGTGAAAGAATTGTATAATATTATTTAAAAAATGGCGCTTATCAGAGAGAAAAATCAAGCTCCTGTCCTGATTTTACGAAAATCAGGACATGAGCTAAAAATAGTGAAAAGTTACTGGATACCTGTAAGCCTACCTGTCTCAACAAAATCCTCTGAGCAGTCTAGACAGTCACTGCATTTATATGCCCAAGAAAACACAGTAGTATGATCTACAAAGAGTCATAAATATCAATAAATCTGCTACGAGCAAAAAGTACTCCAAACAGAGTGTGTTTTGGACTTAATGTTTCTGTAAAGTTCAAAGGATTTTTCCAAGAATAAGACTTGTTTTCTCACAAATTCCAAAGAAACTAAAAAAAAAAGGAACTGGTTTATTTTCTCATAAACAGCTGTGTTTTGATATTATACAGTACATTTTATTGTTATGCCAGGTATGCTATGGGTATCATGGAAGTTTTACTAGCATAGCCACAACAAACAGAGTAGAAAAAAAAACTAATGGTATGAAACAAATTTTTGCTTTCTTTAATGCTTTTGAGGTTTTATGTTACCTCTTTTTTTTCTGTGATCCTATTGTTATACATTTATTTGAACCGACTGTAAGGCAGCAATAATCCATTGATGTCTAAATGGGTGCAGGTTGTATTAAGTGAATATCTTTTTTTAATTCAGTGCTTCAAGTTGTTTCCATTTTTTAATCCTTTTAAATAAGCGATCTGTCTGTTTTATCATCTCTATTTTGTCATGGAAGTTCCAAGTAGTCTGAGTAGTCTTACTGAGAACGTGCATATTTATGCTGCAGTTTTGCGCTTTGCAGTGGGGTGGGGCTGAGATCTGAGGTACTTTTTTGCAGCAATCCTTTGTATTAATGAAATCATTCTTTGTGTGCCATGCATTTTTCTAACTGGAGATTTAAAGTGAGAACAATAGTTGATTCAAAAGGACAGTGACACTTCTTGTCTTCTGTGTCCACGTCATAATGATGCCTCTCATATCTCTGATTTTTTCCAACTTGAATGAAGTTGATTACATTGGATTGAGATTTATCACACACCATGAAAAATGAGTTGAAAAGAATAACGAGAAGTCGAAGAGATGTTAAAATATTTTTTATATTGATATTTATTTTAAAGATCCAAAATGGCACATTTAGCAGAGTGAAGCACGTTTTGTCTTTGTTTCCTAACCAGATGGAATGTGGTGTAAAAAATTAATAAAAACATCAGGAAATGTTTCCGTTTCGGGTTGGATTTTTTTCTTCTTTTTAGAGCCCCAAAGATGTCATCTCAGTTTCAGACCACCTCGACCATCAGAAGCACTGATATCTACTCTGTGTCACTGTGTGCTTCTACACATTCAGACTGCCACTTCTGCACCATGAATGACGGGTACCACGAAGCTGCTGGGATGATTTCCTGGACCTGCTAAAGGAAGCAACTTTTAAGGATCTCTTCCGGATACGGATGGCATGACACTAATTTTATGGTCTGTGTTATCAGTTGTGTTATCAGGCGATTGTGGCAATGGGTTGGTAAGGATTTATGCGAATGCGTGTGCAAAGTGATGAACAGCCACAAATTTTACCCATGATATAAAGTGATCTACCATCTATTTTATCGTCTAAATTGTGGCAGATGTTGCACATGATCGAGATCTGTGTCCTCAACGAAGTTTCAACTGAGTAGCGTGACTGAGAACTTACAAACGTATGAGGCAGCATTGCCCTTTTCATTCGGGTGGGGCTGAGATTTGAGGTGCTTCTTTCTTGAAACACTCCTTTGTCCTAATGAAATAATTCTTTGTGTGTCTTGCTTTTTTTTCCCTTCGAAGCATAAGGTTTAAAGCATGAATAATACTTTATTCAAAAGGTTAAACAGTATTAACAAATCAACTAAATCTTTATCCCCTGTGTTCCAACTGGTATGAGGTCAATAATTTATTTGTTTCCAACTTTAGTGTAGTTTAGTGTAATTATTTTAGTAGATTTAATAAGATTTATTACTCAATTAAAAAAAAAATAATAAAGAAAACTTAAAGAAATATTAATAGCATTTTCAAATATCACAATACATTAAAGAACCAGGGCAGCTATTTTTTTTTAGCAGAGTAAAGCGTGTTTCATGTCTTGTTCCCTGACATGTTGAATGTCACTTTAAAAATAAATAATATATCAGCTGTATATCTGTTTGGGCGAATTGGGACCTTTCGGCCACCGGAAGCACTGTACTGCAGCGCGTCCTTGGATACCACCGACGCGTTCTTCACTGCGGTCTATGTCTGATCTGACCAAATGGTTCTGAGTGAAAAGGGGGGTAAACTGCCCCCTTAGCCGCTCAGCTACCATTGTGTACCCACACGAAGAAGACGATGGTAGCAATATTGACGCGTCGGAATGGGGTCGAGCTGGGTGACTTAATTGTGCACCATGAATGACAGATACCATAAGGCGGCCCGGGATGGCTACCTGGACCTACTTAAAGAGGCAACTCGGAAGGATCTCAACGCGCCGGATGAGGATGGCATGACACCGACGTTATGGGCAGCTTATCACGGCAACCTGGAAGCTCTGCGACTGATTGTGTCGAGGGGGTGAGTATGATTTATGAGACTGTGCGCAAAATGATAAAGGGCCATAAACATGACGCATAAGCCCGTATGTTTCTGCAGAAATTGACATGGCTGCTTAAACTACGGGCGTTTTTGTAGCACAACCATAAAATGTTTACACTTATTACAAGACTTTTAACAGGCACTGAAATAACACTAAAACAATGTTTTTCTTTACTGTAACCTAATTTCAGTCTCACCAACAGAAAATAGCCACGTAGATATGCTGTTAGGTGAGGTCTTAAAAATATAGAGGCTGCCTTTTAATATGAATATATTTATAGCGTATTAGCAGAGAAATCCACAAAATCTGAATAAACATGTCTTCAGATGGGGGGGATCTTAATATTCTAATTTAGACTTTAAATCTTTGTTTGATAAGAACAAAACCTCTTTAAACAGATAATTTAGACAGTGGCATTGTTTCTGTGGAATTTTGGCTGAGGTTCAACATCCAACATTGTGATGCCACTTTAACCCTTATTATCCATCTATTTTCAGGTCACACACAGCTCTGAATTTCAAATAACAGCGTGTGTTATGTGTCATGTTCAAATGAAGCACTCTACCATAAATTTTAAAAGCTCAGCTCATGACACTGCTCAAAGTCATCTCATGATGTGGAGATGTTATTTCATGCTATGTAGTACAGAATCAGAGAATTACATGTAGAAAGAAAATCTATTTTGTCCTATAACAGACGCGCATGATTCCATGATGATAAGATGATGCAAGTTCCTTAAAACAGTTTGTCTTGGACAGTTTGCTCTATTCCCTCCGTAATATTTTGAAAATGTAATTCCAGTGATAGAAAAATAATTATCGAATTAATAGCAAATTAGATCATATTAGGGAGCTGTTGCATCTTTGGCGGTGTCCATATTGAGCAAAATCTACAAATGTGATTGGTGTTCACATGGAACAGCCCATTTATCATTACATCTACTTGACCTGTTTTGCATCCCCCCCCCCCCCCAATCCTCCCAAATGGGGCCATTATGAATTTAAAGTGTTTCTGAAACGTTCTCAACAGCAGACCAGACACTATCATCTGGTGATAGCGGCTAAGCACCTCTGCTAATAAGAGCACATATAAACTACTGATTGACATGTGATGCTAAAACTAAACATCAAATCCTGCAATAATTCAACCCCAAGAGACCCCATTATATAAGATAAGTTTAATGCTGCCTGACATGCTTCATGGGAAAGATGCCTCTTCTGCCGTATTTGGCAAGTATATTACAGATGCAGTAACATCAAACTGTCACAGGGAGTAAAGAAGCAAACAGCCCATAATGTCATAAAGAGCAGATGAGGAAAATGTGAGCTCTACTGTAATCATCGACATTACAAGGACAGGTATAAATTACATACATAAACCTATCAAGTTAGATGGCCCCTTACTGCAGCTACTGTATGGTATATAGAGTATAGAGATTGTAGAAGGTTCTAAGTATTTTATCTCAACGTGCAACCTGAATATCTAATTTCAATTTATCTTTTTACCCGAGTTGAAAAGATAATGTCGTTTCAGTGTTTTACAGCACAAAAGGGCAATAATGATGCCTTTGTTTAATCTCTGTTTTATTGTTACTTTCTGGGTGGTTGGTGTTTACACTCACTCATGCAAACTGACAAAAGTCACTCTTCACATGAACTCAAATAATGCTTGTTTTTAAAGCTGCATATTTAAATCTATTACTGTCCATAAAGGTGGTGTGATTTGCTAAATTAAGCTCTGGGGGACTTTGTACATACATTCCCAATGAAAACTGTGCAACAGCAGCCATCAATAATACAGCTTCACTTCAACAGTAGTTTCATGTCCTTGGTATCAGCACTCTGTATGTGGCTGTATTGGAGGAAATGGATAAGATACAAGACAGTTCAATAAGAATGTAAATACAGGAAGAGTGATGCCAGCAAAAGACTGTATACTTTTTTAAAAATCCACAGAAATAATAGCCTAAAATAAATTTACCTCGGTTTAGGTGTACTGGGCACACATAAGTTGTGCATTATGAATACATGCTGTTTTTGACCAGTTACTAGAAAGTTTCTTCATGGGATGCTAGTTTGTAAAAAATGATGATAATGAGCTCTAATGTGCGTAATCGACCTGTAGGAAATGTGCAGGGGCAAAAAAAAGGAAAATTTGCCCTCAAAGTAATCTAACTCAGCTGTAACAATGTGTTTTGTTCTGTGGACTTTAGTGTGACATTGCCATTCACGCGCTCATTCTTTTTACAGTTTCCTGTAATAAGATACAGGTAGTGTAGCTGTGGCACCAGCAAGCTTGTGGTCATATTACAGACTGACAGCAACATTACAACACAGATAGAGGTAACCCTAAGGTCGTGGAATGTCAGTGAAGGGCAATTGTTTCTTTTAAAGGATTCATTTAATTATGGTGCTTCCACTGTGGAAAAAAGAATTGATCCATTCTTCAATTGATCAAAACTACAGAAGATCAACAGTTATTTGCTGAAACTTAATGTAGTTCTTAAGGTTTAAATGATTAAAAGAGGTCCATTTAACATCAGTTCAGTGGTGAAATCACGGTCAAAAATCACATGATTACTCACAAGTGAGATATCTGAACACTAGTCAGAAAGAAAGAATCCTCTACCTCATTTTTTTTATATTAAATTAATTAAATATATTGTGTTTTACTTCATCTCATGTCTTTTTTTCTCTTTTTCATTAACTTGTGAAGCACTTTGGTCAACTTTGCTGCTTTTAAATGTATAAAAATAAAAATGACACTGAATTGACATTGACATATTTTGAATAAGAATGTCCAAATAGTCAATAAATTACTTTCTAAATGTGTCTACACTTTTCTTGTGACCTTCAGGGGAAACCCAGACAAGTGTGACATATGGGGGAACACGCCGCTCCACCTGGCAGCTGCCAATGGTCACCTCAACTGCCTTTTCTTCCTGGTATCTTTTGGTGCCAACATATGGTGCTTGGATAATGACTACCACACACCTTTGGACATGGCTGCCACGAAGAATCACATGGATTGTGTCCGCTACCTGGATTCCATCGCTGCCAAGCAGACAAGCCTTAATCCCAAGCTGGTCAGCAAGCTGAAGGATCGGGCGTTTCGTGATGCTGAACAGCGAATCAAAGAATGCATGAAGATGCAGAAGAAGCACCACAAACGTATGGAGAGAAAGTTTTACAAGGAAGTTTCTGAGACGTCTGCATCAGATGTCATGAGTTTCTCCAGCTACACGAGCAGCTCTCTTAGCCACAAGCTGCTCAACTTAAACACAGCCACTGTCAGTGTGCCATATTCCCAGGTTTGTTGTTTGTAATTTGTTTTGGATTGTTGCCACCTAGAAAGAGCTTCTTCTCTTAATTGCAAAGCCTGAAAAGAGTAAGGATATAGAGTTCTCAACTCTATATTTTTTCATGCTTTTCCAGGCCTTTCCTTGCCACTGGCTTGAACTGCTGCTATACCTGTTTAGCCACAGACAAAATATGTTACACTTTATAAGGCATAAGCCACTTCAAGTGGTGAAAGACTATAAACTGTATGTAAAAGTTGGATGTAACCACCATGAAGTCTTCTGCTTTTTGATTCCTCATCGTGAGCATTTTGACTCCTGCCACGTTGGTGCTTTGTAGCCAGAAATGATTGTATATGAACAGGATAGTGTGCTAAAAAATATGTAGCAAGCTTGGTTAGCTGCCACTTTAAACTGGACAGGTACAATGCGCATGCCTACTAATTGGTGACAAACTGATAAAATTGACAAAAAATGACAAACTTCTTGGTTCGTCTGTACCGCCAAAATGTTGTCTTCAGATTTTTTCATGAAAAACCTTCAAAAAGCAGCAACAACACAGGTGAAGAAAACCAGACAGCTAGCTAACCCACCTGTCTGTTAAGCTGCCACATCCCTAACTTTAAGTCTTAACAGTATCTAGATCAGGGGTGGGCAACTCCAGGCTTCTAGGGCCGGTGTCCCTGCAGGTTTTAGATGTGTCCTTGAACCAACACAGCTGATTTAAATGGCTAAATTAGCTCCTCAACATCTCCTGCAGTTCTCCAGAGGCCTGGTAACAAACTAATCATGTGATTCAGGTGTTTTGACCCAAGTAGAGATCTAAAACCTGCAGGACACCGGCCCTCGAGGCCTGGAATTGCCCACCCCTGATCTAGATGGATTACTTATGGATGGATTGGTGAAACTGTGCAAAAGTTCATGATAATCCATTCAAAGATGTCAAGACATATAAGTAAAATTAATGTATTGCTTTGGGAAAAGCTATCAGTAGTAAATACAATGACAGTGTATTTCAATTTGCATGGAAGCACATCCAAGAATTCAAAACACATATACCAAGAAAGGATGGCAACAGTGTGAAAAATATCTACCATAAATAAATCAATTAAAATGTGTTACTACTAATGCAAGATAGACACAAAATTTAAGAATATTTGTCTCAAATCTGAAAAAGCTTTTAAGATGGAAGTCTTTCATTTCTGATGTGCGCCTCATTGCTGCATGCTTACTATCCTATCAGGCAACTCTCCATGCCACAAGCCGAGGGAAGACAAAGATCCAGAAGAAGCTGGAGAAGAAAAAACAAGGAGATGGCACCTTTAAAATCTACGAAGATGGTAGGAAAAGTGTGCGCTCCCTCTCTGGACTTCAATTGGGTAATGATGTCATGTTTGTCAAACAAGGGACTTATGTCAACCCAAAGGATCGTGCCCGGCGCAATGTTCGCGACATGTTTCCCAGAGACAATGACGATGCCATTTCACGTGCCATGAGTGAGCCAGACCTCCATGGACCAGATGTGGACTATTCTGAGATCAGCACTGATTCTGGACACGATTCCCTGTTCAACCGACCCGGTCTTGGCACCATGGTGTTTAGGAGGAACTATGTGAGCGGAGGAATGTTTGACCTTAGAAGTCACGATGCAGCCAGTGTGGCCCGTTCAGGCAATAATGTGCGTTTACGCAGTCGATTGCAGCAATACCCAAGTCTAGATGAAGACAGCATTGGCAGTGCACGCAGCCTACAGGAGAGAAATGTTGAAGAACTGCCTTGGGAAGAAGTTGAACTAGGGCTGGATGATGATGATGAGCCTGATACAAGCCCTTTGGAGGTCTTCCTCGCCACCCAGAGCATGAACGACTTTTTCTCCATCTTCAAAAGGGAGAAGATTGACCTTGCAGCGCTGTTACTGTGCTCTGATCATGACCTTAAGAGCATCCATATACCCTTAGGACCAAGGAAAAAGATCTTAGATGCCTGTAAGAGACGACGAGAGACTTTAGTTGAGCCTGACTACATCGAGGACACAGAATTGTGAGTGTTGAGATTTTTTGTTTCAATTTTAGTTTATTTTTTTTAAAAGGTACAATGCAGTTTAACATAGTTCAGATATGAAACACTATGGAGCATGAAACTGATGTGCTGCACATATAGTGTAGAGCTATTGCTAATTTCTAACTCTATTTGTAGCTATTGCTATTGTTCTAGTACTTTAATAGATCAGCTACTGCATTAGTCTTGATGAATCTTAGATATTTCTTTTCCTCCCTAATGTTTGGTCTTTATTAGTGAAGCACATACCTAGTTGTGACGAAGGTCAGATGACTGCCAGTCAAAAACATCCCATCCTGAAAAAATGCTTGTCTGGTCTGCATTTTGCTATCATCACTAAAACTGAAGAGCTGGATATAGAAAAAAGTATAGCTGAAATAATCAAAATCAATCTTTTAGGGTATTAGGTCACATGCCAAAACACAAAGACAAAACTGTGTTTCTGGACCTTTTTTGTTGTCTTATTGTTATAGCTCTTGAGAGAATCTTTCATTTTATAAACATTCATTATTTTTCTTTCTTTTCTACAGATAACGAAAGATGTGGTCACCCATCCTGCTGTGTGCTCATCCGGCCTTAAAGGTTAGTGGAGCATTGCAAAGTAAATGTCACATATGGGCTGGATGTTAAACCCAAAAGGACACTGTCATGATGAATATATCAAGCATGAGATACTGTAAATCCTTAACAGGATTCCTTTACTGTCTTTTTAGCTCAGGATGATCACTGAAAATATCTCTGTTTGGTTTATTGGAGTTCCCCGTGCTGCATGGTTTCACAAACTGAAAGACCCTTATCTGAGTGTAGCACTGTGCACATTGTATGCCGTTTGGCACAGTTAACAGAGAGATGATTGTGGGGTCTGTGTCCCCTGAACCTTTTTAACCCCCTCGGGGTGAACCTGGACCTCATGTGCCTGCATTGCTTGTGCCTGTGCATTTGCTGAAAAGCGTATGTTGTTAGAAATACACTAGTGTGATTTCAGCTGTAACAGCATTTTTAATAACTATTTGTAACTGAAGTAACATTTACTTGTATTTGTATATTTTGTCTCTGTATATGTTTACATACAGACAGCCACGTCAGGTCTAGAGTAGCCCACTGGTAGTGAAGGCCAATCCTTTGTTGTTATTACGCTTGTGATGTAAAATCTAATACCACAGTATTTTTTTAATAAGTGCATACTACACTGTAACATGTCACTGTAGAATTAGACTAAAGTGGGATCATGAAATTGCGTTTTTGTTGTTTTTGTTTACTCTGAGTGCTTTATATTAATGTACCTTTGCTCAGTAGCACTTTAATGTTTACTATCTGAACTTTTGTAAACAAATGTAGGTTGAATTTACTGTTATTAAAAATGTTTTTAATGATGTAATTTGTTTAAAGGGTGTGTGCATGCACTACTTCTTCTTGCTATATAACATTTCATCTGAACTCAGAGTGACACTGATTGCAGAAAAAACCTCAGTTACATAATGCGGAGCATTAGCTCTAATGAGTGAGATTGAGTTCATGTGTGATGTCATTTTTCTGGGAATGCCCATTCATTAGTGAGATAGCTTTGACTGATCACTAAACATCCTGCTTTAGTCATCTCCTGTTTACAGTTTGCATTTGAAGCTTCTTCTAAGATAATTGTGTGTGTCTGTATTTGAAAGACACACATAAGGTGTTTTCACAGCGGCAGTGCTTAATCCATGTAAATTGAATTCTGGTTAATTTTTTCATTTGGTGCTGTTTATATGTGCAGATGTGAAGACAGTAATCGCACTCATTTGCAGACCAAAACAGAGACTGACACTGACCGCATCAAGGCCGCTTTGAAGAAGGTGGTTTCTGTATCGTTCCAAACAGAGTGGTTCATTTATGGTATGAATGTTATTCGACCTCAATATGAACCAGTTACCCAGTGTACATTGCAAATTTGAGCTAAAAATCATCCAATAGCCACATATACTTTGTATTGTCAGTGCGGCAAAGTACTATAGAAGTGCTAAGATCTGTATGGGCTAGCAACTAGCCATGAGAAGAACATAAATTCTCCATGTTCTCCATTAGTCCAGAACATAGCAAATTGTTCTTGTATCTACTTTTGTTGCATCTGGACAATGGGTAAACTGAACAAACTGACACAATTTGATTTGCTTGGAGTTCACTTAGATTTTTCTCTGTGTGAAAAAATAAACCAAACAACAGGAAAAAGCTACAAGTTTACAAACACATCAACTGATTCTGACCAGAGTTAACAAAGTATAGGTGTGAAAACGCCATTGTTGTATCACCATAGTGATAGTACACGATTGCTGTTCCCGAATGTCATTGTTCCGTCTGTGCTACATGACAGGAAATGAGGAAGTTGTCTCAGTGGATAAAACTAATTTTAAAAATGGCTCAAATGTCATCTGTAAATGATATTGGTGTATGATAATATTAGTTTTACTGAAATTTAATTAAATTGTCAGTTTTGGAGTCTGTAATTGAGAACTAGGAAGGATGTTCAGTCCCTAGGCTCAAAAGCAGTCTCAAAGATCAGATGGGTCAAGTTTCGAAGAACAACACATGGCAACTCTTAGCGGTAATACAGTGGAGAGTTTGAAGGGCAATAAACACAATTAACATCAAAAACAAACTGGAAGATTGCACAGTTGAGATGTCCAACATGCTTCTGCTACAAGACATGGTATGTGATTCTTGCATTGACAGCCCGAGTAAAGCCCTAAAATTCTGCCTGACTTGCCCTATTCCCTACTGTGAGAGCCATCTCAGAGCAGGAAAAGGCCAAATTTCAAAATCATCACTTAGTGGATCCATTCCATGACATCTCATTTTGAGGTTCATAAGCTTCCTCTCAACTATTTCTTCCTGATGGAGGACTGATTCGATTGTCTGGACTGCGAGAGAGAGAAGCACGAATTGAGGTCTCAAAGATACAACACAATATAATTTATTTACAGGGGAAAAATGTTCCTAAAATGTTCCTAAAAAAGGAGTAAAAATCATTTGGAATACAATGGTTTTGCAATCTTTTACTTACAATCTGGGGCTCACTTAGTCAGTAGATGTAGCATGTGTTATTTTTTGTGCTTTTTTTTGTAGACTGAGCACCAAAGGAACTGAGGGAGATTAGTGAGAGTGCCTCAGGAGTTGATAAGGCAGTTGAAACACCGCAGAGCATTGACTGCATGATTTATTCATTCATCTAGTTGCATTATGATTTTGTCCAGTTTCAGTTTCCATCAGGTTTTTGTTATCATTAAACAGTTGTTCCCTAGGCTGCAGAGAGCTGTGGAGAAGGCCAGAAAAGGGGCAGTGGAAGTGCCTTAAGGAGAACAAAAAACAGGCCCATAGACAGACTGAAGGCATTCAAGCACACCTGGGGCAAAAGAGAGCATAGGTGATGAGAACATTGACTGAAATAAACAAAGTGTCCAGGAGAAAGTCTGATATTGACTTCCTACAGGTAGAAAACATATGAAACATTCAGGTTATTGTATTATAAGTAGAGGAATTACATATAGTCAAGTGGGTGTGAAACCTTTTTGGCATCACAGCCTATTGTAATAGTGTGGCATTTTAAGACAAAGACTTTATTTTGGAAACGAATGTGTTGACAGTATACAAAGAACAGGAATTTCAACTTTTGGAATATTTATACAGAAGAAGTACAATGTTTCTTTTGATGTTGGTTTTTTGATAAACCAAAGAAATTTGACATCATGGCATTTTTCAACAATGACAGAAGTGTGGAGGGAAAAACCTGCAGAACCGCACATAGGTCAGCAATCTACCTTAACTAACTATGGTGAGGCAAAAGCAAAGAGAGAAAAAAAACAATGACAATAAACAATGCATCGGTTACCTGATATATGTTTCTTTTGTTTGTGTACACGTGTCTTCTGCTTGCCCTCTTCTCTCTATGTAAGCTGCGGGTTTCTCTGATTCCAGACCTGCATGTTCCTGATCTGCAGTGACTGCCCACACCAACCTGCCAAGTCATAATTCTTACATGGTTTGTTGCCTCTCTTTGATCTTTTCTCTTTACTATCCCATCACCTAAAGCAGTCAAAGCAGAAGGTGACCCTCCTGACCCTGGTTTGTACAGAGGATTCTTCTGTATAAGGGTTTTTGGTTTGTTTTTTGTTCCCACTGCCACTCACAATCAAATTGCTATTTTCTTTTTATGAAAATAACAATTTCCATAAAGGTCTTACCTTGCAATATAAAGTCCTTTCATATTCAAATATAATTTAATTAAATTAAATTGGCTTGTTACAAGGGTACTCAGAGTGGGAAAAAAGGAATGACCGCTGTATGTCTACCTAATGTGAACATGAACTGCATGGATCATCGAATCTTTTTACACCCAAATAGTAACAGATATTACACAGGAACTGTACAACCTGATTTTTTTTCCTATTTTTTTCCTCCTGCAGTGGAAAGCTGAGCATGATTTGCAAAAGTGGTGAGTTTCACTCACAACATGGGTTTTGTTCCACACGTCATATTTGGTTATTTGAGCCTCGGTGAAAGTCAAGATATAAACCAATCCTGGTAATATCAGTCGTTTCCAAGGTGGTTCCACGCCTAATACTGGAAAAGGCCTCATACGAATTGTTACAGCGTGTTTTTTGTTTTGTTTTGGGTTGTTTTTTTTTGGGGGGGGGGTTACATTCATGACACTAGGGATGACACTTGGTGTGTATCAGTGTCTTCTGTGTCTACAGTGTCTGATCCAAACTATGATGACTACTTTGATAATGAATTTATTCAGCAACACTGCAAGTTTCATATTTTTCCCTTTGAATGAAAAGTCTTACGTCGCAGGCGTTCGTGTTTTTCTTAGGGTGACGTTAACGAGCCATTTTTTTTTTCTTTATTTTTCGACATCGTGCTTGGAAAATGTAAACTAAAGTGGTTTATTGTTTCTGGATTAAGCATAAAACAAACACAGTTTACTTTGTGTTGTGTGCAAATTTTGCATGCTAACATTAGCATTTAGCTCAGAGCACTGCTGTAGTACTGCCACACAGAGCTGAAATTCAATATAGTGTAAACAATCATGAGAAAAACCTCTATATCAAATTAATGGTACTAAATCATCCGTGCCAGTCCCTCATCTTTCTACCCTGCCTAACCCTGACACCAGAGAGGACTTCTTAAAATGCAAATAACCCTTCAATACATCACCCACCCACCGCTTGTCATATCTTATTTTTATTTCCACATTGTCTATTTCCCCCTTTTTTTTTTTTAAGACTCCAGAAGTTTGACCTTTGACCGAGACACCTGACCAACATCAGCCCATGGCAGCACAGATACCCGGAACATCCCGACTTTGAATACTCATGCCAAGCCATGAATTTACAGAGCCTTTACTTGGGAAAACACTATATTGAAGCAGAGCTGAGTGAGAAAGGTTGTCGCACACAAGAGTATCGATCGAAAGGGAGAGTAAAGTAGCAGCTGCATCACCGGGAACAATTTTTCCTGGTGCGTGGGAAAGAACAGCGGATGTTTTTCTGCCTGGCATACTGGTGTGGAGCCCATCTTGGAAACTACTGATATTAGCAGGATTGGTTAATATGTTGCCTATCACCAAGGCTCAGTTTCATTTCATAATGTTACTGGTCCTGTCAAGCTGCTCCATAAATTCATGGCCGACTTCACTGAACCTTTGCTCTGGTCAATGCAGAATGATGTATATGCTAACAGATTATGAGCTGCCTTCACTGTGAGCTTGTAAAAGAAAAGAAATGGTCTATTATGACTATTTATTGATGTTACATAACAAGCTTTGTAAAGATATTGTATAAAGAGCTTTTTCACCCCCACAATAGATAACATAGAAGTTTAAATTGAATAGTGGTTGTAAATGCGCACCATGAAGAAAGCTATGCAGCACATGAAGTGTTAAGGATTTACTGCAGCTTTTTGAAACTTTATTGCTCTTAAATGTGATGCGAATGAAGAGGAAAATACACAATTGTCTGCCAGCAATTCTTTTATTTGTGTTACAGATTTATTTGGTTATTCGAAGATTTAGTGCCTGTCGCCTAGGTTATTTACATTGTTCAGTGGTGGTAAAACTGTATACAACTATATACTTTAATTTGTGGGATTTAAAATCATTCAATTTGAAACAAAAGTACTGTCATTAAATGCTAACATATGTTCATCTTTAGGCAGTGAAATCTGTTTCACTCTCATCATAAGCTGGGTTTACAAAGTGCACAGCTGTCTGAGTCATGGAGATTGAATTACTAACTCCAGTCCCATATAGACTAGGAATGTCAGGCATCATAGTGGGCTGGTCAAACATAGGATTATCAAACCCATGGTCGAGAGGTCCACCGAGATCTGGCATGTTATTGCTATTTTTGAATCTGTTCAGTGTTGGCATTTGAACAACCCCCTTATGAACCAAGACACCCAAGATAATGAGTGTAATCAGCAGTAAAACTCCAAAAACAACTCCAACTGCCAACCCTGCACTATCTCCAGTTTCCTCAGAAGAGGTCTGAACTTCAACTCCGGAGATTCCCAAATTAGAGCCATGAGAACGAGCATCCTTCATTATGTCCTGGGCCAAAGCTGCTGACTGTATTCCCTGCTCTCCATCCAGTATTACTATCTGGATTTCAGATAACGTACCAAGACTGATTATCCCCATCAGCCGCTGTGGCTTTAAGACTTTGGACATCCCCAGCTGAATGGACTGGTATTGTGGCAGGGCAAGAAAAAGGTGACGGATTCGTTCCCTGTAAGTCTGAAGGTTAAAACCGTCATCAAAAAGGAGGGTAACAATGGCACCACACACATCACAACAGTGTCCTGTTGGGCGAAGAGGGTTCTTACAGTTTGGAGAGTCACACGTTACTGTGCTACAGATCTGCTGATGGTGTACAGAATTCCCACAGTCACAACCAGAGGGATCCTCACAGGCTGGGTTTCCGACAGCAACAGCAGAGGATCCATGAAACTGCAGTTTGCCCAAACTTGAGCTGAGATACTGGGAGAACTCAGACTGGGTAGTAAATGTATCCCCCAGCACAGACACAGATTTGACAGTGATGCTAGAATGACTAGAGCTGGTGTCCACTCTGAAGGAGGAGAGGGCTTTAAAAACAACATCATCGTAATGGCAGGGGACGCTCTCCTCGTGGACAGAGAATAGGAAGTTTCCTTGCTCTAGGTCATTCAGAGTTGCAGCTGCCTGCCATAGAGTTGGATCGTACCACTGAAATGACTCTGAATCTTTAAACTCAGTTGTGACACCCGTTCCACAGCCTGGGTCCTGCCCGGTGACAGCATAAAATCCAGCTCCTGAATTCAGGATGAAGTCCCCATCAACTGGCAACCTCATCTCCAGCACAGCATGAGTGGTCTCCACAAACACAGACACTTTTCTTTGAGCCGAAAACTGAACTATGTCATTGCCACAAGGAATATCGCCTTTGTCCCAGTTGGTCTTATTCTCATAGTTTGTATCAGGAATCCACTGTTTATATAGGGCATTTGCTACCCCAACAAGACAGAAGAGCAAGAGCATGTCTGGTATTTTCAGCATCCTGGGTAATTGTGACAGCCTAAAAGAATATTGCGTGACCTTTGTTTCAAATCTTGTGACTAACACGAGTGCACACAGCTTACTAAGGGCACTAAACCAAATCAGCCTGCTCAAGCAGGTAAAACATTTACATTTTCTGCTACAACAGACCGGTTTTATTGATAATACCAAAACATCCTTACCACTGCATTTTCCCTTCAATGCATTTCTGCTTAGAACTAAAGTAGAAATGAATTCTTTAGGTTTATATTGCTGCTATTGCCACTGACACTGCTATTTGTTTACTCACTGAATTACATTAAGTCCAATGCAATCAAATGTGGTGATAATTCTGCTTCGTCAGTAATGCTAATTCTCTGATCGATGCAATAATTTAGCTTCTGGTCTAAATTATATATATATATATATATATATATATATATATATATGTATATGTGTGTGTGTGTGTGCGTGTGTGTGCGTGTGTATGTGTGTGTGTCAAACATAATTAATTTGACTGCTACCAGCATCAGATACGCACCTTAATGATTAACCATCATCTAATTCATTATGTGCATTTATATGCACATAAATCCATTCAGATGCTTAATATGAATGCATCAAAGTCCATATCATTTACATTGCTTATTTTGCATTCGAAGGAAAGCCATCAAGTTTACTTCTTGAATTTTCAAATGTCTAAGGTCAACAGGACTACACTTACAGTCCGCACGACCAAAATAGCTCCTTCTTGGAAGCTGCGAGAATCTGCATAGTAAACAGACTCAAGTACCCGTCGCACTTGGATTTCCCTTCAGGCAGTTCCTGACGTGCGCCAGTGTCACGAGCTAGTAGAGTTCGTTGTTTATGGAATAACGACCAAATACGAAACAGGACCTGACCAGCACAAGGGACGATTGGGGAAAAACACCAAAATATGTGGTGTAAGTCTCCTTTGGGTGCGGTGAGAGATTAAACAATCAGCCAAAACTAATTGCACCTGTTTTTAGTCGTTTACGTGAGCACTGCGGAGGCTTTCTGTGCAATCTGACCTGCGCAGACTAGAGCGCTGATCCACTTAGGGCTATGCCGTGTTTTCCAACTCAGTGTTCAGTTTAGATAAACTTTAACCCGAAAGCAACATGCACCCTCTGGCATCTTCACACTAGTTTGAAAGTCCAACACGAACGCTGTAGATCAGTTTTCAAAGATTCACTTTTTTCTTTCTGTCTTTCTTTTCTCTCGCTTTCTCTCTCTCTTTTTTGGACAATCACATTTAAAATAGTGGCGGATGTAAATAATATTAATCCTGTAGCTAAAGCTGAAATATCGTTGTTTTCCATAATAAAAGACTCATGTGGTGTTTTAGTACTCTTGAGTGCGCTTTTATAGTCCTTCCCCGCTTATTTTCTTTAGTAGGGTCATAATAAAATCTTGTATTTCTCAGCGGTTAACCTGTAAAGATATGGGATCATTACAGCTTCACTTAAGCTAAAGCACATGATCTTTTGTAGGAAAATGCCAAACGTTGTTATGACGGCTCATCCATCAAATGGTGGAACTGTGACACAAGTGGACAGCATCCAGCATTTGCCCAGTCCTCCCCATCCTCCCACTGTGGATGGTGCTAGTGAAAGTGGACACGATGTGGAAGTAGTTAAAGAAAGGACCCCCCAAGGTGGTGAATGGCTCCTGTCTGGGATAATTTGCATCAACATCCTGATGCTTGGCTGTGCTCTGGTCAGCAGCAGCGCCTTCAATGTTGTGGCCATAACACCAGTGCACCGGCAAATCTTCCTCATCACCCTCCTCGTCCTTACTATGTTGTGGATGCTGTTTTACATGGTCGTCACCTCCCGAAAGGATCGTGCAGTCTTATTTAAAGATCGCCATGCTGGGCCTGTGTGGCTCAAGGGTGAGAAGTCCGAGCAGTGCTTTCTGGCTCTGTTTCTGATTGCTCATTTCAGCTTAAACCCCTAATTTTTTATTTTTTTTATATGTTGCAGCTGGGCTTGTGCTGTTTGGCCTCCTTAGTTTCCTCATGGACATCTTCAAGATTGCCACTTATGTGGGCTACCTTCACTGTGATTCTCCTGTTAAAGTAGCCTACCCCATTGTGCAAGCTGTGTTTTTATTTTTCCAGGTTGTTGCATGTTATGAAAATTGTAAGAATATACGCGCTCTTGCATGCTGCACTGGCAAAACTTTTAAAAGTTGTCTCTTTTAGACCTACTTCCTGTGGTTTCATTCAAGGGACTGCGTGCAGCTACACACCAGCTTAACACGGTAGATTCTTTTAAACATTTCATCACCTCCGTTCACTCATTTCAGAGTATATAACATTCCTTATCTTTTTTCCCTTTCAGATGTGGGCTTACTCTTACACTTTCAACTAACCTGGTGGTGTGGATGGCAGCAGTGACTGAGGAGTCAATTCACCAAACTGAGATAACTCATCTGAATATAAGTGTCTCGCACAAGTTGTACAGAGGTATTGAGCCGTAGCTTCCTGTTTTTAGATGAAGGTCCGTGTTTACAAGGAAAATAACTGATGGTTGCTCTTTCTGTTCCAGCCAACTACGGTGCCAAGAAGTGCACATGCAGTCATATGGCATGTGAGACCTTCAAAGAGGCCTTCTACTACCTGTACCCCTTCAACATAGAATACAGCCTCTTTGCTTCTGCCATGACCTACATAATGTGGAAAAATGTGGGCAGAATTGTTGAGCATCACAAGCACTACAAATTTAACTTCTATGTGAAAGATGTTTTCGTAGGGCCTGTAGCAGGACTGCTCCTGGTGGTGGCAGGACTTGTTACATTTGTACTGTACAAGATTAACATACTCAAAGAAGACAAGGATAAACGAAATAAGGCCCTGCTGATTCATTTCATTATGAACATAGTGATTGTTAGCTTGATGTCCCTCTCCACTATGATTGGCTGCATTATTTACAGACTGGACCGCAGGGAATATGTATCAGACAAAAACCCCACTCGCAGCCTGGACGTGGGGCTACTGGTGGCATCCTCTTTGGGGCAATTCATCATTAGCTATTTCAGCCTTGTGGCTACAGTGGCGACGGGAGCCCAGGGTTACCTAAATGTGCTCAACCTGGCCTGGGCTGTGGTATTGGTGGTTGAGATTGGCCTGCAGAACTATTTCATCATTGAAGGCCTCCATCGGGAGCCCATCAATGTAATGCCGGCAAATGCCCGTGCTTTTCAAGACCACGCTGAAATGGCCAATGACGTGGAGGGTCAAATATCAAGATACTCAATTTCTAAAAAGCCAAGTTGGAAAAGGAGAGTTCTGAGGGAAGTGTGCGCCTTTTTGCTCCTGGCAAACATAATTGTAAGTTGTATTTGTGCTTATTGGACTATCTACAGTTGTAACAACTACCAGTGTTTTCTGTCAAAATGTGTCTAATTCCCTTTTTCTATATTGACAGCTATGGATCATGCCTGCATTTGGGGCTCGTCCCCAGTTCGACCACTCCGCTGAGATATACTTTTACAATTACACAATGTGGAACGCAATTGTGAATATTGGACTTCCTTTTGGAATCTTCTATCGCATGCACGCTGTGGCCAGTCTCTTTGAAGTTTATCTAAGAGATTGACTAATCTCGTAATCATTATTTTGATTTAGGTGTATAAAAAGTGAACAATTTTATGTATCAAAACATTTAACATGTTATTTAACTACCTTTAATAAATAAATTTAAAAAATGTCTTCGTGTTTTCAGATTTCCCTGTAGAAGGATTCAGTGCAGGGATTTGATATGTGGCGATGCAAATGTGTTCATATAATAAACCTTTTGCAGATTAAGTGACGAACAGGAGCATGGTGCCACCTAGTGGTTAACATGTGAAGGTGGCGCTTTTACAGATGGCAGAATTGGACTTTGTGCAGAACTGCTGCTACTTTATGAACCGTTTACACACCTGAAATTTCAGATTTTGCTTTACAGCACTGTCATACATAATGTGACCAATGCAGAATTTGCAGATACATATTATATATTAGATTTTTTTTTTCAGGACACTTTAAGGAAAATACAATTTCAGCATAGAACATTATAAGCATTTCTCAAAAATGAAACCTTGTCATATACATAAAAACATACAATCTCCCTCAAAATATAATCACATAAACTTCAACCACAAACGACAACTCAAAAAGGTGCAAGTTCACTTTAAAGCATTTCAAGTACAACAAATAATATTGGAATGATAACTTTGAGCTATACAGGATATGTTACACGTCTTTGAAAGTTAAACAATGTTCCCTCTTTCACTTTTATACTGCTAAAATTTGCCTCAGCCCTTACCAAACACTCCAGTCATCTCAGTGCTTTGACAAACATTCAGCGGTCTTAAGGTTTGAAGAAATGTACAAACACAGTTGTTTATGGACACTAGTGATAATTCAAACACTTTCTATCTTAATATAGAGAGAAATTTCTACTCCACTCATCTGAATGACTCCCCTGTCTAGTTTGGTGGTGTCAGAAGCAAGCAACAGGTTCACAAGGATAGTTTCAACACAATGAGGTTTCCCACAAAACCAGCAGATACTGAAGGGATGAAGAACCCTAGATTCATTTTCATTGACAGTCTACATCCTCTGGATCTCAAATAGTCGGACGTCAGTGTCATACCAGATCGGAGGATCAACATTGCTGAAACAGAAAAAAAGAAAATAATGGATTAGTTTTAATTTGCTTTTGAGGATATCAGTGTCCATAATTCTCGTCTAAAATTTCTAACTCACCGCAAATAAACGACGCCCCACATGTAGGTGCGAAACCACATGGCAGTGCCTGCATTGGCCTGATATTTCCTAATTAGGATGGGGTGAGGAACCGGCAGCAGGCCCACTAATGTGCCATGCTGTAGAAACTTTAGGATCTCTGATTCATCTGTTAGACCTCTGCAATGAAAGACACAGTAGACGTTTACAGCATTTTTAGTAATATATCAAAACAGTTAGAATATGCTTTTTGCAGTCCGATCAAAGCTAAGCGAAGTGTTTGCATACTTGTCGATGCAGATTTTCTCCACCTGAGGCACCAGCACCTGTAGAAGTCTCATGATGGTCTGCAGGGGTAGCTTACATTTCCAAGAGAGGACCTGGGATAAAAGCGAGCAAATCTAAATTGACTTCTCATTCCTCTAAATATCCAACATCTAACAAAAACTGAATGAGAGGCTGAGAGCAAACCCAGTCTGGTGTGGGAGCCCAAAAGGACGTTGACGATGCACTTGACAAACGTCTTCTCTCCATTTCTGCTTCAGTGTAGAAAACATCCTAATAGTGTGAATAAATGCATTTAGAAATATCCTCTTTCCACTGGAGCAAACCAATACACCCCATAAAAAGGCACTTACTTCATTGTCCCTGCCTGAGTTAGACTCCGTGTCGCTGGTCCCAGTGACTGCACTTTGGTCTGGGTGGACAGCGTTTGGGGAGTCTGTCTTTGGAACTGACACCATGGTGCCATCTTCTGATACTTGGGACTTCTCTGTCAGTTTATCAATGCCTACAGGAAACCAGCATCATAAATCACAGGACATTAGTGAATACGTTACAGATGTGTCTGGCGACATTACTTTACTTTTATAGTCTTACCAAAAAATTAAATGCAACACCAACTAATTTTGTGTTGTAACTAAAAAATGCATAGAGACTAAATTAAAGACATATGAATTCAATCTGCTAGTTCTAAGGCAGTCATTTTCATGTGCATGATGTGCATATGTACATGAAATACATGACACTTTATTAGTTATAGATGTTCTTCAGCTTGCATCTAATGAGCTAATAACATGGCAGCAACTCAATGTATCTAGGCATGTAGACATGGTCAAAGCAGCCTGCTGAAATTCCAACCGAGCATCAGAATGGGGAAGAAGGGTAGTTTAAGTGACTGAACATGAAATGGTTGCTGGTACCAGATGTGTTGGTCTGAGTAAGATTTACAGAGAATGGTCTAAAAATAAGAAAATATGGAATGAGCAGCAGTTCTCTGGGTGAAATGTCTTGTTGATGTCAGAAGAGGATGGCCAGACAGCTTTCGGCTTATAGGAAGACAACAGTAATTCCACTTCTTATAATCAAGATACACAGAAGAGCATCTCTGAACACACAAAATATTGAACCTTGAAGCAGATAGGCTACAGCGACAAAAAGCACACCAGGTGCCACCCCTGTCAGCTAAGAACAGGAAACTGAAGCTACAGTTCACATGGGCTGGTGGAAAAACTTCCAGGTCTGCTAAGTCGCAATTTCTGCTGCTACAGTCGGATAGTAGAGACAAAATTTGGTGTGAACAACATAAACGCTTGGCACATTTTGGGCCCCTTATTACCAACTGAGTATTATTTAAACCCCACAGAGGACTTGAGTATTGTTAATGACCATATCAGTCCCTTTATGACCAGTGTACCAATCTCCTAATTGTTGCTTCCAGCAGGATAACGCTCCACGTGACGAATCTCAAATTATGTCTGTTTTTTGAAGAAGATAATGAGTTGACTGTATTTGAATGGCCTCCACAGTCACCAGATCGTAGACCTATAGAGCACCTTTGCAATGTGGTGGAACACGAGATTCTCATCATGAATTTACAGCCCATAAATGTGCAGTAACTGTGTGGTGTCATGTCAATATGGATCAAAATCTCAGAGAAATGTTTTCCTCACCGTTTTTGAATCTGTGCCATGAAAAATGAAAAGACTTCTGAAGGAAAAATGTGTCCGGCGAAGATATATGTTATGTGTGCTGTGACTACCACACAGTGAATAGATTGTTTTGAAATTACAAGATTACCGTACAAACAACACGTAGAGTCATTACCTGGCATAGCAACCAGGCTGGCCTTTAGTGTACCGGGCTCCGCTGGCACTGCAGGGTGTGAGCCCTCCATGGATACAGTCTCTTGGGAGCTGGTGCGGGAAATGACGTCGGGCGACTTCTTCTTCCTTTGCAAAGCCTTCTGGATGGAACTGGGGTCAGAGGGCAGGTTAGCCAGCTGATGGAACACATTACGCTTGCGAATTATGGCATAAACCAGGTTGCAGTTTCCTGGGGAGAGAAACATGGACACTTGTGAAAATAATGTATCTCACAACAAAAGAACTAGATATCTATCTATCTATCTATCTATCTATCTATCTATCTATCTATCTATGCCTTGAATGTCTCCAGCTTTCTCTTACCATCAAACTGGTACTGGATAATGTTGTTGAAAGCCTCGAGAAGGAAAAAAACCAGGTGATGGTTCTGAGCTGCAGAGAACAGGAACCAGGTGGTGGAAAAGGCCTCCAGCAGGTGGAGCAGTTTATTAGCTGCTACCATTGACAGGCTCTTCAAGTAAGGGGAAACTGAAGGATAAGCAGGAGTATTAAAAGGGTGTGAAATAAAAACTGTAACAACTAATTGTCATGGCGTGGTTATGTTGAAAACAAAATCTGAAATCAAATGCGTATTTACCATTTACAATGATGGTTAGTAGGCAGTCAAAGAGAGGCTGGAGACGCTGGTGGCCTGTTGTGATTATCTTGTGAAACACCTAGAAACCAAACAGAGCCACAGCTGTAAAACTTCACTGTATTTGAATTAGTTAGCTATCAAGAAAACTCCCATTTCAGCACAGCAGCAGGTGTGTCTTACCACTATAAGGAGGTCAGCATGAGTCCCTGTGAACACCGGGATGTCCATAGGCACATGGAGAGAATAGGGCTTATTCAAGCGCACGCCAAAGTTTCTCTCACCACTCAGCAACAGCAAAATGAACACACCAATGTGCATAAGTCCAACACGTGCTGCAGAAAAGACAAATCACACCAGAAATTGTTAAATGCATGCTTCTAGTAGAGGTTTGTCGTGTGCAGTGAAGCAACTGAGGAGACTCACACTGGTCTGCTCTCGCGTCATTCAAGTAATAGAGTATAGGAACCAGGATATCTAACACATCGCTGCTCTTCAGGACAAAGAACAGGAACTTCTGCAGTGGGAACACAAAGTAGATTGTGACGTCAAATGAAAGCACCTTTTAATGCATCGCCTCCCCAAAGAGGCCTTTATCTTTGTTCTAACCTTATTGAAGTCGCAAAGTTTCCAGAAAAGCACCAGAAGCTCCTGGTGGAACTGGATCTTCTTGGTGGAGTTAGGCAGGTAAGTCTGGGTCAAAGGGTTGGTCAGCAGACGAGCCAGGCCTTTCAGTACAAAATCAAAGTCCTACCATTGGGAGACCACAAAGATACAGATTTTCACAATACAGTCTTTAAAGTAATGACATTGGAGGATTTTTAAGAAACACTGATATGCATACCTCCTCTCTGTGAATCCTTGACAAATAATTCACAAACAGGTTTTCTGGTCCTGTAGACTGAGCCGAACAAATTCAGAAAGATTTGAATAACATTAATTAAATGCAATAAAGCCATCAAGTGTCTTCGTCACAGTCTTGAAGTTACCTCTTGTTCCTCTATGCTGGATGGAGAGGCAGGGGGGTGGGGAATCCCTCCATCATGCTCCAGTGTCACAATGAGGATCTGTACCGCCTGCTCCACCAGCTGCTCCCGGTAGTCAGAGAAGAGCAGGTGGTTGTACGGGATGCCATAACCCACCGGGTCATAAGCGCACACCACATTCAGGAGAGACGTGAATAGAGGCAGAGCATGTCTAGGGACAAACA